GCCCTTCACCTGTTATTCCTTTGTTATTCCTATTGTAAAATCAAAAAATTGGAAACTACTGTAGCAAAACTTGTAGCAAAACTTGTCTGTTATTGCCCAACAAAAAGTCAGGATTTTTTTTTTTTACAAGTAGATGAACGCTTTGAGGTCGTAACTTGCCAGTTTCACAAAACAGTTAATGACTGCCTAAGCCTCCATGATCCAAGGATGTTGACATTTGGACTGTAACACATTCTTGAGTGGGCTTATCCCTGGGACTGTCTCCTCGGCTTCCCTCATTAATTGTGGTCTGCCAGGCATTTTTGCTGACACTGAGATAGACCATAGCTTTCTTTTTCTCCCTGTTACCTCATAAACTGTGTACTGACGAGCCGCTTTACTAACCAACTTATGGGGATGCTTGAAATTCTGAGTAGAAATCCCAGCCAAGCAGAATAATTGCATCTCTTGGGGAGATGTTAACAAGCAAAGGCAGAGCTGAGTGCTCCTGGGTTCTGGCTTCCATGGAGCTTTCTCTCAACAGCCCCCCTGAAGCTCCATGCAGAAGGCGTTCATTAGTAAATATTAAACATCGCTTTCCGTGTTGCTGGTGGGATGCTGAGGGTGTGAGACCCCCTCTGGGCACTCCACGACTCACTTAACAGCCACACCAAAATTATACAACACTCACTTTCTCCATGAATGAGAGATAGAAACATCAACGATGAGAGAGAATAATTGATTGGCTGCCTCCTACACGCCCCCTACTAGAGATCAAGCCTGCGACCTGGGCATGTGCCCTGACCAGGAATCAAACCAGTGACTTTTTTGGTGCATGGGATGACAAGCCACTGAGCCACACCAGCCAGAACTCTAAGCACCAATTCTTGAATATTTTGTTCTGTGACCCAATTCCCACTGTCTTCCCTTTTCTCACACTTGGTGATCTTGCCCTTGACCCTTCTCATCATCTCAGTTCTTGCCCTCATTCTTTCCTTCCAGGCTGCCCATCTTCTCAGGGCCCCACTTGTTTTGAAATCCAGCCTAGCACTCTTGTTGGTGTTTCTGTGCCATATTGATTCACTGTGTCTGCATCTTCCACTAGGCTCTGAGCTTGGAAGTCCCATGAGGATACAATAATTTTTTTTTTTACCCTTGGATTCCTCTCCTGTCCTGCATATTTCACGTCCTCAGTAAATAAATTGAATTTGCTGTTCTTTTACATTACGGGAAGCACAGCCCTTGTACTAATAATTCTCTCTTCATCTCTGCCATCAAAGGCTAGTTGTTTTGTCTGGTTTGTTGAGGGGGACTTATTTTCACTTCTCATTTTGCTATCAAAATTGTTTCTGTTTCCTTTAAATTAGCTTCTTTTGCTAGAAAAATAATGCCTTGGTTCTCTGTAAGTCTCCATCTCACTCCTGGCACCTTGACCTGCAGCTGCTTTCTGTCCTGCATTTTCACTTTTCTTTGTATTCTAAGTCACATTGGAAATTTTCTTTTTTAAAAATATATTTTTATTGATTTCAGAGAGGAAGGGAGAGGGAGAGAGAAATAGAAACATTAATGATGAGAGAGAATCATTCATCGGCTGCCTCCTGCATGCCCCACACTGGGGATCGAGACTGCAACTGGGCATATACACGAATCTGGAATTGAACCATGACCTCCTGCTTCATAGGTCGATACTCAACCATTCACTTTTCTTTTTTTTAACGTACTTATCTCATCCACGAGCCTTGTATTTGTTCTTATACTAATCAGAACAAGTAGATTGTGTTCTGTCTTGTTCTTTCCCTCTCTTACCTTGAATTACACAATAATTAGGACTGTTAGTGTTTTCTCTAAAAAGCAAAGTATAGATGAGCCATTCACCATTGATGGGAGATATAATAACTATAATGTGAGATGTACTGTTTTCCCCTGTAGGCATGCATCAGTACTAAAGTTATTCTGAATATGCTTTTGCTTATTACAATTTCATTATTTTCTCTCACATACAAAGCAAAAGGCTTCATTACAGTGGTTCTTGGGTTACTGCTTGCATAAGGCTAAGGCAAAGCATGGATTTGCACCATTCAGAAAGTTTGAAAAAAAGCCTTTTTAAAAAAGTAAATATATTGGGGTTTCATTTATATAGGCTTCAAGTATACAATTCTATGATACATTATCTGTATATTACATTGTGTGTTTACCCACCCAAAGTCAAATCACCTTTAAAAAGAAATGTAGCAGTCTAGCTGGTGTGCTCAGTGGTTGAGTGTTGACCTATAAACCAGGAGGTCATGGTTCGCTTCCCAGTCAGGGCACATACCTGGGTTATGTGCTGGATCCCCAGTAGGAGGCAGCTTATCAATGATTCTCTCTCATAAGTATTTGAGTGACTTTTGTGGGCATAATTCTCTTATCAAATGATCAGAAATGATTGTGAAGGGAAGTCCAGTCCTCACATAAGCAAACCCTTCACACACGAAAAGATTTAAGATTTTTTGAAAAGCTATTAATGATTCTCTACTCTTTGGTACCAGATCTCTTGGTTAATACCGGTTTACCAAAAAGGACCTTGTATAATATTGTGTGTCTGTCTTTCATGTAAATCTCTAAACTCTCTGGGTTTAATGTTCTCTGCATGTTTAATGTTCAGTGCCTACAGAGCAACCTAAGCATATTTTGCATTTAATAGCTATCTGTTGAATTGAATATCATGAAGTGCAAATTAAAATAGAGTGTTAGAGAAAAGATAAAGCACTCATCATAGTCACCTTCCTAAAGGTCAGTTTCAAGTGGGTTTTGAAGATGAGACGGACTTGTCCAGAGAAAGAGGAGGAAAAAATGTGCCAGGCATTTCCTCAGAAGCAGATCCTAATAACTAAAACAATTTCTAACACTTAACTGTAAACAAATTCCAACCCCATAAACTTTTCTGATATTGTTCATGACATAACATCTCAGGGTTAGAAGAGCCTCAGAAGCCATCATCACATCCTGTCACCACCACCCCTGTTCATGAATCCCTTCTTTGGGGACTGATGCTAAATCATTTAGGGCAGTGGTCGGCAAACTCAGAGTCAAATATCAACAGTACTTCTTCAAAATAGACTCTCCCAGGCCAAAAACCAACTTCTGCGCATGGGCCACAAAGTTTCAGTCGCACTTTCCTTCGCGCCTGCATGTGGTATTTTGTGGAAGAGCCACACTCAAGGGGCCAAAGAGCCGCATGTGGCTTGCAAGCCGCAGTTTGCCGACCATGGGTTTAGGGAATGTGATGAAGTCAGGGCCAGAATACTTACCTGGACTTCTCATTGTCATTTTCCAAGGAAGATAAGCATGCTCTCATGTTGGAAGTCTTTTGAATCTTGTATTGTTCTGGGTAAATCTGAACTTGATTGCTTCAAGTGTCTCTTTTGTGGTCTTGGTTGGGACTGGTATTTGGTCTGTGATTAAGGACCCATTTCTAAAACCCATATTCTCTTCTGAAAGTTCAGTTTACCCTTGTAACAGAAGACACTGGGAGAAGGGATGCTGGTGATCACTTCTCACCTGAGGTGGGCCTTATGTTAACTTGTGCAGAATCATCATAAGTTAAGTTATGCAGAGGCTATCTTGTCCTGCAGCAATCCAAGTATTAAACAGCAGGAGAACTCAGGATTATAAAGAGTCTTCATTGATCCCACAAATATTTATTCTATCTGGCATTATGAAATGGACTGGGGGTATAATGATGAAAAGTGACATGTGTTCCTCACCTTGCTGGAATGTATGATCTAGCAAGGCACAAGTGAATTACATAAGCCATGGACCTCCAGGGCCTGGCAGTCAAGTCCTAGGCCAGCTGCACATCTGCCACCTGAGCCCTCCTGGCCCTGGTATTGTGGAGGACCATGAGTAGGTCTCTCCATGAGCCCTGAGCATGATTTCCTCACTTTCTTGAGCATTTGCTGCTTCAGATGTAACTTTAAAAGTCCTCCATGTTCCTAGTATTTTTTTTGAAAGCCTTTATTCATTTTGGACTTTAGCTGGAAGTTGTTGATACAGTCTGAGGATCAGATTTTTCCTGAAGGATGCACGCTTGACAGCGGTGTGTGTATTATATGTACACAGGGCAGAAAGAAATGCCCAAGTGAGGAGATTTACAGCAGGCCAGGTGAGCCTTGGATTGAAATGGTAGAAGTGGAATTGGACCCAGAAGACAAATGTGAGATAGGTTATAAAACTAGAACAAATCAGATGTCCAACCAATTGGATATGGAGGAAAATAGAAGTGATTCTGTGGCATAAGGAGAACCATGAGGCCATTAGGCTCAGGATAGAAGTTTGGCAAAGGCTGGCTCTTGTTCTCTCCCTAGCACCTGGCACAGAGTAGGCACTCAATAAGTGTTTGACAAGTGAATGAATAGAATAGGGATTACTCAAGGGGAAGCAGGTTTGATCTGGAAGATAAATATATTTACTCATTAATTTAGTAAGCAAACAATGAATTCTGTAAGGTGGAAGAAAGGCTTTTCATGTTGACAATTGTGTCTCATCAACATAGAAAGGAGGAGGTGAAGGACAGCAGTACATTAATGAGCTTGTGGAAAGTATAATTTTTCTTATGCTTGGCTGCCTGTCGGAAAGCCCTCTTTAATTTCGACACACTTTGCGACCAGCTAATCAAAGAGGATCTTTGTGCATGTGATGTTTTCTAAAGCATGTTTGCAGTTACTGAAATATTTTTATTTCAGTAAAATTAAAATGAAGAAAACCCATATCTTCCAAAATATTTAAAGGGGCAAAAAAGATTTTTTTGATTCAGGGCATCTAAAAGCAGCAGTGGGTTTTGAGTCCCATCCAGAAGCTCTAGCACACTTAAGCTTTTGTTCTCCCATCTGACTTTGGGGTTTGCGCTGACTTTGTCTTAGTAACCATTGTTGCATAGATAGTGGCCTCAAGGAAAGGGCCTCTGTTCTCTCTAAAAGGGATGTCAGATCTGTCTGGAGCATGCTTCCCCATTTCTCATTCTCTGCTCTTCTGTTTCCTAGGATTGCATCGATGTAGGCTGGTGGGAAGGAGAGCTCAACGGCAGACGAGGAGTGTTCCCTGATAACTTCGTGAAGTTGCTTCCACCTGACTTTGAAAAGGAGGGGAATGTAAGTCTTTGTGGCTTTGATCTCGGTTTCCTCATCTGTTGGCTGGAAACAGTGATCACTATTAAAGGCTTGTTGCATGAATAAATAATATAATGTATGTAAAGCACTGGGTATAATACCTGCACATTTAAGCACCCAAATAAATGTCAAGAACCCTTGGGGGCTCCATTTGGTAAGTGGACTGCCAGTGTTCATGTAGCAGGTCCTTGAGGGTGGTGAAGTGGCTAATATTGTGGAAGTGGCTGAAAAACACATTGTGAAACTAAGGCTGCAGAGTAAGGCCTGCTAATCTTATACTATGTGTGTATATATGCACATATATGGACATGTATACACACACATCTATATATATATATATATATACACAGCTCTGATCTGTGGTTTATTTCTTTGTGGAGTCCTGTTATATGATGCTGTTGTTTAAACGAGCCAGTCCATCTTTGCTTGCCTCACTTCAGGTGTATTGTTTCTCTGCTGACCATGTAACAAGAAATATTAAAAAGTTAGAAGCACTTTACATTATAAGGGGTCAGCGATTTGGTCTTACTCATCCTGTTCTGTACCTCAGGGCTCTTTGCTCAGGCTTTCACATGACTTATTCTTGGCCGAGGCCCCTCTTCATGCCCCTGAAGGCTCTGTTACTGGACCATGAACTTGACTTGACCCATCACGATTCCCATGGAGCTGAGGTTTGAAAAGGATAGCTACAGTTCTGGAGGATTCATTACCAAGGATACTAAACAGCATTGATGGTATAGGTGCAGCTTATATGAATGGATATAATTGTTCAATAAGCTAGATGGTGTCAATGCCCACCGAGATTATGCCCTGCAGATTGTTAGATTGGTTTGAAGCCTAGGGCCACACCCTTTAGGCTTTTTCTAGCTTACTTTCTTTTACGGTTTAGCTGAAGGATGTTCTATTCCACACCTATTATTCTCTCTTGGAATTAAGTTTGGGGTCCAGAGAATCTAGATTCTGCTTTCTAGTGTTTTCTAAATCCTTGATACTTATTGCTGGTCCATGGACCACACTTGATCAGCATTACCAGTAGCTTTTTATACTCAGACTACACCCTAGACCTGGTACATCAGAACCTGCATTTTAACAAGATCCTTAGGTGACCTGTTTGCAAATTAGTGTTGGAAGTGCTGGTATAGGAGCAGGTATCTGTTTAAGTGATAACCGCCCTACTTTCTAGTTCCCAATCATATTTTAGAAGAGGGATAAATTCACAGAACAAGGAAGAGCTCACCATTCTGTAAAGAAATTTTCCATTAAGCAAACTCACTTGAGCCTTTTTTACTGATGACAGTTGATCACAGTGGTGGGTATCAGTTGACAGAATCATCCCTGACAAAAACAGATGCTAACACTTAGTCACAACTAGATAGTAAATGTTTTGAAACAATAAGGCACAGAAATGAAGTTTGGCAAACATTTATAGAGTATAGTGGTTGTGACTCTAGACCAGCCGTGGGCAAACTACGGCCCGCGGGCCGGATCCGGCCCGTTTGAAATGAATAAAAATAAAAAATAAAAAAAAGACCGTACCCTTTTATGTAATGATGTTTACTTTGAATTTATATTAATTCACACAAACACTCCATCCATGCTTTTGTTCCAGCCCTCCGGTCCAGTTTAAGAACCCATTGTGGCCCTCGAGTCAAAAAGTTTGCCCACCCCTGCTCTAGACTGTAACATCTGATAGACATGGGTTTGAATCCTGGCTCTGTCACTTACTTGTTCAGATCAAGGTCAACTTACTGAATAGTTCTAAGCCTCAGTTGAGAGAAAAATTGTACCTTCCCTGTTGAACTCTTGAAAAGATTATCTGAGATGATGCATATAAATTCCTTAGCATAGCACCTGGTACTTGGTAAATGTCCCATACATGTGAACTATTCCAAGTCTTTGTAATTATTATTACTACAAATGTGGGAAGGCTCCAGCTAAAACTGTGCATTAATGATAGAAATCTGACTCTGGTTCTTTTTACTTCAGCTGGTCAAGTCAACACAGAATTATTGTTGGTATCTTAGTGAACTTCTATGGGAATCCCAATGAATCTAAGAACTTTTATAGTCTTTAAAAAGAAATACAGTGCTTTATAAAATATATTTGTAGAGACAAGTGAGCACGAATGACATAATCTTCATGTTATTTCTTATATTTTTCAGGATCTGCTTTATGACAATTATATTTTATGTTCATTTATTCACTCTGTATTTGTTGGGTTCCTTCTCTGGGCTGGCCTCCGTGCTGGCTGATGGGAAGTAAAGAGTATACATGGTTGATGCCCTTGTACACTTAGAATTGAGCAGTAGGTCTTCTATTCAGAGTTGTAGAAACATGTCACATTTTTCTAAAAGGACACTGATGTGGGCCTCTCCTAGGGAGTAGAGGCAAGAGGGTCTTGTAGACTGCATGTCTCACCCTTATCACCTATCTTTTTTTTTTAAGCCTCCCCCGAGGATATTTTTCCATTGATATTTGGAAAGAGAGGGAGAGAGGGGGGAGTGATACAGAGAGAGAGAAACATCAATATGAGAGATACACATCAATTGGTTGCCTCCCCCACATGCCCAGGACTGGGGATTGAGCCTGCAACTGAGGTACGTGCCCTTTATCTGAATCAAACCCATGACCCTTCAATCTGCAGGCCAACACTCTATCCACTGAGCCAAACGACTAGGGCAACTGATCTTTGCAAGCCTAATATAAGGTGGTCACACTCTGAAGCATTTAAATGCCAATACCTTCATGGTGACTCTTCTCTCTTTGGCTAAGGAATGAGCAAGTATGATGTTCTATTTGACATTTGCCACCTTCCTGGTTCTGATTGAGGTAATATAATTTTGAAGGCTAAGATAAAGTCTGGATCATTCTTTTAACAAATGGGAAAAGCCTCTGGTTGCCTACATGATGGCACCCTGCCTTCTAGTTCCCAGTCATATTTTAGTGGAGCAATAAATTCACTCAGGTGAGAGAGGCTCCATGGTATACTTTTCTAAAAGCCCTGCTTTGTTATATAAGGTATTAAGGGAAGATTTCCACTGAAAAAGTGAAGTTGTCAGTGATGAGTAGACTCATCTTGGCTTGGTTGTTGAGGCATGCATACTTTTTGGAACCCCATGGGCATCTCTCCAACCTGAGACAAGCAGCCAAAAGCTCTTTGATATATCTTTTAATCTTGTCCCTAAGAAGCAGAACACTCAATTTTAGAGAAACAATAGCCATATCTGTCAGACAAAGCAACACCTACAGCTGAGAAGTGATTGTATAATGTGACATTTAGCTTTTAGAAAATTCAAAGTATCGCATCCTTTTTCATCCTTTCTGGCCTATAAAACCAGCCAACCAGCTTGGCATTGGTTGTTATACCAGCCTTTATTGCTGCACCCAGAGTATTGGTGAGTTCGTGATGACGACGTGACTGGAGATGAGGCTGCTGTTTGCTGAGTCAACTATGTAAAGATGGTTAGAATCATTAACACAAAGGCACTATGTGAACGACAGAATCTGAAACACCATTCTGCCACTAGTTTTAGCAGATGTGATCTTGTCTTGCCAGTGGCTGGGGTTGTAGTCATTCACCCAGAAAAGAAGATGATCTGTGATGATTAGGGTAGACAGCAGCAAACAGCATTTATTCAACAGCAGACCTCTTGAATCAGTAGGCATCACTGAAGCATCCCCACAAGGCTAGTATACTTTCTGCTGGAGTGGTTGCCACAGGCCTTTTGGAATTCTTGACAGTCTTCCTTTCAGAGAGTGACACTATGGGGCTTTTCCTCAAGATATTCCCGGAGAGCAGCCGCTGATCTGTTGGTGCAGCCGCTGATCTGTTGGTACATATTTTAGAGTGATTATGTAGGCTATTTACCAGAGAACCTAAATTCAATGGCTGTCTGTTTATTTTGAGCCTTGACAGTAAAATTGAATATCAGAATGGAAAGATTCAATGTTCCAAGAGCTCTAATGAAGCAGTGCTCTGTCATTATTACTAAAGGAAAACGGGGACCATGGGCTCTCAAGAACAGCAGAAACAACTTCACACTGTCATTGAATTAGAAGAGGTTCTCTGAAAGAAAAATGTTTCTGAAAGATAGTGTTTTAAGAAAGTCTCAGGCCTCAGTCCTTTTAAGAGAAACTGAAAATCACCAGAGGATGTTATAGTTCTAACATGGATGGCTCTTCTGAGTTTGTGCCATGTCAGGAACTGAGTGTTGCTCAGGTTCCCATAGTTTCCTTAGTTAATGTTCAACAGGGCAGGAGGGTCTGCCTCTTAGCCCTAGGGACACAGAAACCCACATTCAAAGATTTTTAAACATGTCCGTGACTGATGCATGCTCACATTTGCCAACTCACAAAGACTTACTCAGGAGCAGACTGCCAGCTTACAAATTGCAACAGGAACAGAACATCAGCCCAGAGGTGGGGATTGTCAAGGCATTAATGTCACCTAAGCATGGCCTAATGACAGAGCCCTAACTAAGCTTCCCTGAAGTGGCCTGGATGGTGCTCCTTCTGTCTTCTCCATTTGTACTTATATCCTATTCTCTCCCAGTTGAGCCCCTCATTCACTATACTCTGTCATCACTCCATCTGAACTATATTCTCCTTGAAAGCAGAGCCGATGCCCTGAGCTTCTCCTTCATGTATCTTAGTCCATTTGGGCTGCTATAACAGAATACCATAGACTCAATGGTTTATAAACAACATAAATTTATTTCTCACAGTCTGAAAGCTGGGAAGTCCAAGATTAAGGTGCTAGCAGATTTGGCATCTGGTGCAGGCCCACTTCCTGGTTCATAGACAGGTATCCTCTCACTGTATCCTTACATGGTAGAAGAGTTAAAGGAGTTCTCTGGGGTCTCTTTTATAAGGGCACCAGTCGCATTTATGAGGTCTCCACTGGAATGAGCTACTCTACACATGAGCACATTGAGGATTAGGTTTCAACATATGAATTTTGAATTTATTCAGTAGACAAGCATTCAGTCCATAGCAGCATGCATGGTACATGGTTGCAATCAGGAATCCTTTGTCCTTTGATCATTTCGTGACAAGGTGTAACTTCCCTTCCACTGTCTCTCTTCTACTCCTTGCTACTCTCTCCTATACTAGTAAGAAAGAAGAGGAAGTGGGAAGCAGAGATCCTTGTCAGATTTCTCTTCCCAGACAAAGGGGGGTCCAGGTCCTTCCATCCAGACATGAGGTCTGAGCATGGAGTTAAGGCATCATTTTCAGGGTAGGGTAGATGGAGCAAAGGAGTGAGCCAAGGGTTGAACTGTGAGAGTATCTTAGGGAGAAGCTGAATACCAAAGCTTGGGTGACTACCCTATAGGCCAGCAATCTGGATGTGCCCAGCTAAGCGGGTGACAATAGATATAGGCCACCAGGCTAGAGGCTAAGGAGAGGAAACTCGAGAGAGATCCCGCCAAGAGCAGGTTCTGTGGTAGCTCCCAAGGATCTCCTGTGCTGGGGACTCTGTAGGGTGCAGAGGGTCAGTTATAAACAATGTAATCCCGAGTATTGCCCCAGCTGCACACCTCAAATGTATTGTCAATCCACCAGGAACGGGGAGAAAAGGGCAGAGGAGAAACTTCCATGAGGGATACCCTGGTCAGGAACTATCCATTTGTATCACCCTCTCCAGCCTCAAACACAGACACCTCCAGAGAACTTAGCCAAATGCCTGGAGACGGACTTCCCAAGACCCCACATCAAGCTAAAATTTACTTGCAGAACCTTATCACATTCCTCTAACAAAAGTCCCCCAAAATATTTGGGGCCAGAGTGTTGAAGGCAGACTGGCTCAAGAGACCAAGTGGTGAATGAAAATTCCTGCCAGGGAGGATGGTTGAGCCAGATGATGAGCTCTTTCATTTGGGACTGGCCAGACTTGCCAAACAAGGGGCAGAGTCATTTCTGAAATCCCT